GTTTAGGGTTTAGGGTTGGGTGTCATCGAAGGGACCAGGTAGTGGTCATTGCCATGAGGCTGCTGTATCGGGAACTGTCAGGTTGTCACCCTCCTCCACATAGCAAGTCATTTGCAAACAGGCCCTTTGAGGACTACTGCCCTTTCGAAAAGGGGAGGAGGATATCGTACATGGGCAGCATCGAGGATTCTGAGGAGGTATTTCATTAGGTGCCATCCAACCAGCACGCCGTAGCCCATCTTGACCATGGGTTCCCTAAACCGTAAACCCTATCCGACCCCCCCCCCCACTACCAGTTGGATATGAGTCGATTTACTTTGAAGACATGAAGCCCCTATGAGCTTGGCGTTCAAAGGGGATCTGAGTTGCACAATTCTTTGGTTGATGGTTCTGGAACTTGAAGTCGCGAGGGTCTGGGGTTTCTAGATTTAGGGCTTATGTTTTGAAATAAGAAGGTTAAGTTTGATGAGATTTTAGGGCTATGTAGTGGAGTTTCAACCCAAAGCCCTTACAGTTCATAGGGAAGTGCTTGGGGCTTGGGGGGGGGGGGGGGNNGGGGGGGGGGGGGGGGGGCTGGTAGCCCGTGATCATAAGTGTTGGGAGTCAGGAATGAGGTTTTGGGATGTTGGGTTAAGGGTGTGGCGTTTCTTGCTGCCAACCTCCAAACTTTAAACCGTGTAGGTTTAGCAGCAAGAAGGAGGTTGCCAGGCTTTGCCAAGAATGCATTGGAAGCATGGGCTTTTGTCATTCTTCTTAAGGTGCATTTCGTGAAGCACATGTTCTGCTCTCACTCTACATTAACATAGAACTTGCGAAGGGCTCCTGAACCCTTAGACTCAGCCCTGCGTTAAATACTGTTCCATGTTTGAGTAGCAGTGGCCACAGCACATAAGGTTTGATCCCCTTTGGCTGCTCAGGATTCAGAGTTCGAGTTAGTTAATGATGGGGAAAAATAATGTGCACGCTACATCTTTAAAAAGGCTTCGTAGGGACAGTTAGCGTCGAATGGCTGTTCCTAAGTCACGTCTCATGCGTCTGAAGGAAGCTGGAAGTTCACTTTAAGCTGAACACTGGCCTGCCACAACTCTGAAGTTTCTTCGGTCTAGTTCTGATGGGGGTGTAGGAGTTAAATATTGTTTTCCCAGAGAAGCTTGTCTAAACGCTGGCAACAAATCCCGACTTCATTCCCCGTCATAACTCCTAAGGCCCTAAACCCCGCAAGTATAACCTGAAAGAATACGCCCCCTAACACTGCTAACTGCGAACGCCTGTGCCACACGAAGCTTGAATGGACCGTGGAGGCTGTTTCATCTGGAAGGAGGAAACCGTTTGGCCCATCCATGTGGCTGCACGTTTAGGAGATGCAGATGCTCAGCATCACAGTTTTGGGTCAAGGGATTGGTGTTTAGGTTGTAGGCGATTCAGGGTAAGATGTAGGTATTGGCAGTTTGGGGTGAGAAGGAAGCGTCTGTCCTGTCTCTCGGGTTGAGGTTGTCGGCTTAAAGATTTGGGTTTTAGCAAAGGTTCGCGCTATATGGGTGGTCCAAAAAAATTCTTTACATTTCAGAAAATCTCTACTGGGCTCCACATTTTTCCATGACCCAACTGTATCCCCAGGGTCCCTTATGAGCATGCCCCTTTTGAGACCTTGTACCGTATAGTTCCTCCACTTGGTAAGATTATGGGTTCCCCTACCAGTTTCCGTACATTGCTTGAGGATGATCAGGGCTAGTTTGCCAATTACGGGAGAGGCCAAGGGGGTAGCATGGGGGCTGGGGTAGGTGCGCAGCCCCTGACCAGAGCATGTATGGCACTTGCTTTGATTGTTTCAAGACTGCTTGTATAAGCCCTTCAAACCCCAACTGCCCAATCTCTCCTCTCAGTCCCAAAAGCCCGATGCCCTGAACCCACAAACCCTCAAACCCTTAATCTCCAAAACCCTCAGACTTGACATCCCCGAATTCCTATACCCAAGATTCCTACATCCATACCATAAATCCCTAAGCCTCTAAATCCTACTTCCGAAGCCCTCAAGCCCTGGACCCAAACCCTAAACCTTAGCCCCAAACCAATCAAACCTGAAATCCCTCAGCCCTAAACCTTAAACTCGAAACCTTAAACCCTAAGCCTCAAACCTTTTGCCATCCAAGGAGATCGTACGGCTTCTGCTCTCAGCTGGGGCTGATCCCAAGCAACGTTCGTCCAAAGGGCGCACGGCGACGGATATGGTGCCTTTGCCTGTTAGGGGTTCAGGGTTTACCTGTTGTTCTTTCAAACATTTTGTGCCCTCTGCCTTCGTGTGCATGACTGCTGTTTTGGATCGGGGTGCTTGCGGGTTTTGGGGTTCCAGGGCTTGTGGCTTTTGTTTTAGGAAGGATGTGGGGCTCTGAGGGTCAGGGTACCTCAGCGGGAGCACCGCCCCTCTTCACTCTCAGCTATCAACCACTACATATTCTGAGTCCCTTATGTACATATTTAAAGCTCTTAGTCCTGCCATTCTTAAGGTTTCTTACTGGGTTGGTCCCTAAACCCTAAACCCTTAAACCCTAAGCCCTAAAGCTTTTTCTTGGGCGGCCTTGGGTCAGGATCCCGCTGTTTGAAGCAGGGGTGACCAGGTTTAGGCTCAGGGCATAAGGTTACGGTGTGGGGTTGAGGGTCTAGGGTTTGGGGTTTCTAGATTGGGGGTTTGGGTTAAGGGATGTAGGTTTCAGGCTGTAGGGTTCCGTGTTAAGGCTTTTGGGCGGCCAGGAGTTCTGGGAGTTAGCTTGAGGGTTCAGGATGAAGTGGATTGATGTTGCATGCTTTAGCACCCTAAACCCTAAACCCTCAACCCTAAACCCTAAACCTACACCCTAAACCCTAAACCCTAAACCTACACCGTAGTTTTGGGATGTTCTCGGGAGCTTTCACGGGTCAGGGCCTCCTGACCTTGGTATTTGGCCCTTTCTTCAGGTTCATGTGGTAATTTACATAAATAGGGGGGACCCCAATATAGATCCCAAAATACTATAGTCCTTTTTCTGGGAAGCCCCAAAATGGTACCCCCAATTTTTGGAAACCCTAAACCCTGAATTGTAGTTTCCATTTTCTTTTCCATTATCCTTATATAACCCCTATAAACCCCTTTAGAAAGGTTACACTATACCCCTAATTTTTGGAAACCCTAAAAAAACACCCTAAACCCTAGACCCT